GGTGTGCAAAAATGACACCAGCGTGACGTCCTCAGTCTACAGAGTCCAAACATACAAAATGATTCATTGTGACATACAATATTTTTTTTCGCTTTCTATTAACATGTAATATGCGGACTAGAACATTGAAAGGAGAAAAAGGAGAATTTCTCGTTATTTATGATTTAGAGTTATGGATCAATCTTGAAATTGATTTGGTTTCAATTTTTTGCTCTTTCTCGGCTCCATCGAACTTAGACTATATAAAAATTTTGGAGACAATTCCGTCAAACAAAATCGGAACCTTTTGAAAACATTTTTTCATTATATAGTTATGTGGTTCTCTCTCATGCTCAATCAAAAAACATAGCATGATTCATCTCTTAACAAGGTATTCGAGCACATAAACTTTGTATCGCCAACAATGATCACCCGTACGGCCCTACCTAAGTGTAACTAGCTAGTCGCAATCATATGCCAATCCAACATATTTTGGAAACAAAGTGCTTCGAGAGACCTAGGATGGGTATATGTGAACTAGGAAAGGAATTCGATACTGTTGAATGTGTAATTTTAAGCAATTAGTAGGTTCAGGTTAGACGGCGACTGTCTAGAATGGTTGATGGACTTTCACTTTGGCGACTACATTTTAGACCAATAGCCACATGTGAAAACAGAAATTGGGCGATGTAGGTCGGGTACTTAAGCGGACGGTTTATACAACTTAATTAAACATTTTGTCACGTATACATTAATACATATACTTTTTTTTTTTTTTTACAAATACAAGTTTTGGTTGTCTAATTTAAAATGTTTGCAAACCTTTTTGGTTAAAGAAACCAGAGCCAAGGATTGCGTTGGCCGCATAACGTTCTCGATGTGCTTCATCTCGTTTCTCACAAAGTACAAGTTTTTAGTCACACTGGTACAGTATTAGTTACATTTTGTACAGCTCATCATATACTTGTACAACTTATACAGTTCACTATATATACCCTCATGCACATTTTAATTATGAGAAATAATACAAATTTTACCATTTCTCGTTTACACTCGTAATAACTTGTAAGTTGAAAACCTATTTAGAATTGAAATATAAAACTTTTTAAAATAAAACAACTAGGAAATGAAATAGAAATTGTCATTAGTTTTTTTTTTCAAAATACTATATATATATCACCTTTTAAAATTAACTAGCGATATAGTCACAGAGATCATAAACAAAAACTACATTATGTCACAGAGATATTTTAATATTCTTCACATGCCAATTTTTTTTTAATAATGGGCAAAAGTTGATTTCTTAAAAAAAAAATATTTTGTTAAAAAAACTTTAACAAATTGTTTCAGAATAAGGTGAAGATTCAGATAATATTGTCTGATATGTTGGGAAATGGATGATGATTTAGAAACATGTTTAGGTCAAAGGGGCTCCATGGTGGCACCACGTATATTAACATGAAACTAATGCGGTAAACTAAAATCATGAGTCTGCATGATAATATCTTTAGACCAAGCATGAAGCTTTTGTGATAATTGTACCTCACAGCTTTAACAACATCACCTTCACCTCATCCTCAACTTTTACTTAATTTTATGTTGGCAAAGACAATAGCACAAACTTAGAGTAACTTAAGCTTCCGTGCTGGAGATATAAGAACAAGTGATCATTGAAGAAGTATTACGTAAATGAAGTGGTGCTTAACTTTATATAAAAAAAGGAAGTGGTGCTTAATTTTTCACACTTTGCAAGATTTTGGTCTTTGTAAGGTGGAGATAAATCATTGAATTTTTTTTACCTTTTATTAGATTGCGTAGTTTGACTTTAAGTTTATTGATCGTGAGGATACCAAAAGTACATGATTTTCTAAATTAGTTAATTAGGTATCTATATTCATCACAGGAATAGTTTAGACGTTCCTTGCAAATAAATAAAACTATTGCCAATGAAATGAACAATGATTCAACGATGTCTAAAGAATAGTATAACTGCAGAAATTAATGCCCAGAGTTGAGACTAAAGTTAAGACGCAGTGTGCAGATGTATGTACATAGTTTTTGTGTTATTAATGTCAGATGCCTAACTTTCCCGATACAACACCACGTGAGATATGTCTGGATTCAATTCGTCATTCGTCTACACTTCATAACATGTGGGCAAACAAAATAAATGAGTGGAAGTCTTTCTTACTCTCCTCCACTCCACTACTGTAGGTATTTCTGTGCTCAATCAATATTATTTTGTTCCCCTTTAAAAAAAAAACAAAATAACAGTTGTATATCTTTGAGTTACATAAGTAAATGGCCGATATATGGTTCTGTACATGTTTATAAAAGACCTCACGGATATTCTGTATGTTTTGATTCCAGCTTCTCATCGGATGTAAGCCAAATGTAAGGGATTCAATTATTACTCTCAGGATGCGTGAACTAATTGACATTGTAACCTCAATATAGAATTTACCACTATTAGAATAGCTTTTTGAAAGCAGAGATTGGTATTATCTTGATGATTTTAAAGATGAAAAGCAAGAGAAATGAATTTAAGCAATTTTTTTTTCTTTTATAAAATACAACTAGTGAATACAAATATTTTATTTAGATGAATTATCTATAAAACACAAAACACTACAATGTTATAAGAAATCAAATAAAAATAATAAAACAGCTATAAAGAAAGTCTTAAACAAAACATAGACTAAAAAATACTACACCTGCTTTCGTGTGTAAGTTTTTCAATTCTAAAAAAAAAGGTGAATATCAACGGCTCAAAAAAATCATATATTTACACACGCTAGAATTGGAACCAAAAAAAGCTTTTTCTTAAATTTTCTCCTAGTATTATTTAATATAATAATGTTACGTTATTCAAACGTATATCCAGAGAAAAGAAATAAACCTAACCGTAGGCTGCGTTTCCTTTTTCAAAGTTACGAGAATAAATAAAAATGCTGGAAAAGCTCTTTTAGGATTGTTAAAGATCCATTACAAAGGGACGATAAAAGAAGGACCATTAACACAAAAGTGGTGGTGTGTAATGTAATGTTAAGTGTGTAGGGTCAGATATTAACAACAAAATAATACTATGAAGTTGAATCATAACCCAATATTAGAAAAAAAAAAGAAGTTTAAATTAAGAAAAGGACTCTCATCGAGAATAAATGTGCTCTTTCATCTTTTAGTAGTAGGTAAAGTGGGGACTATACTTAGTACTTATACTCCACATATGTTCAAAGTTTTGGTACTAATAGCTTTAACCCTTTTTCATGATTGTTTGGGAAGCTTTGAGAAAAAAGATTAAGTTGATAAACCTCTATAAAATTTAAGATCACGAGGTTTAAACCGAAATTAACAATTATTTAGAAATGAAAACCTTCTACTCCAAGTAGTCCTCGGCTTTCATAAGATATTTCACACTTCAAATTTCTATAAAATAAATTCTAATGATGTAAAAAAAATTCGTACTAATATTCAGTTTCATAAATGTAAATAGAAATATCATATACATTTTCGTATATTCTCGAGTTGCTAGGTGAGCTTATCCATTTACATATCTAAATTGTGCGTTATAGGAAATTATTATATTTTCTAAGAATTTATACCTTATCTTCTATTTGGAATCTATATGTTTGATATTATCCCAAATTGACCCTACTAAAAAACCCAAGTAACTCATGAGGACCCCATTCTGACTGTAACACAACAAATGATTGATATCAGAAATTACCTAATGGCCACCATATTCCATGTCATATTGAGGTCGCTTGGTTAAAGAGCCAAGGGGGAATTATGTCATTGTTACGGTTGTCTACTTGTCTTCAAGACTTCGAGGACAGACTTTAACCGTTTAACGAATTGAGAAGAGCTGAAGCAAATATTAAGGGAGATATCGAACGACAGAGGACGAAGGGAGAGTCAAAATCTTAGAAGAAAACAAAAAGCACGTGGCTGTCGCGTGGTATTTATTGAGAGCTCATTTAATAATTTGTTTTCATGCACATTCATTCGGGCTTTGGTTTTTACATTATGGACGACGTATTGATATAATTTTGAATTTTGATTGATAAGTTTTTTTTGATTGATAAGTTGGTACCGTATTTTACGAATATTTTAGATTTTATATAATGCTTTTTACATATGCCTGGGCTGGGAGAAGTTGGTGTACCTCTCCAGATGGTTCGAACATTCGAGAAAGCAAACTGAATTACACAAGACAACAAACGATTGAAGACTCATGTTTCAATTAGTTTTTTAGTATTTTCAGGATCCGCCACTGCCCACCATCTCATCGATCAAAGTATCAAACAATCATCAGAACAAAACATAGTTGATTTGTTCACTAAAAAGGAAAGCACTCAGTGAAATTGAATTTATAAGACGTCTCTCAGTCGCTCCGGCTATCCGGATGCATATGAGCTTGCTGACGCCAAAGGCTCCTTAAAAATAGTTATATTTAGAATCTTATATATGTTCTAGATTTCATTTGTAGTCCAATCAAAAATTTAAATATATAATTTAAAAACTATATTATTCAGTCTAAACGTCATATGCTACATGTCATTGTTGTAAGACACACTTCAAAGATAAAGATTACAAACTAAGAAACAATCCACGCATAGTACAGATGATCATTCCTGGTTACACTAATACTAATGTTCAATTAACTTTAAGGATGATAAGTTGATAACATACTCACTTTGACATAGGTACATATATTTGTCCATCATTTTTATATATTTCATCCGTTTCAAATTAGTTGTCGTTTTGGAAAAATGTATCTGCAATTATTTGGATGTATTAAATTCAAAACACATTCAGATATATCCAAATAATTGTAGATACATTTTTCTCAAAATGACAACTAATTTGAAATAAAGGAAGTATGAAATAGATGATTGTAACTAACGATGACGATCAAATTTACTTCTAGGATTAGTTTCTTGATTCAGACGACACCAAATTTCATATTTAAATAATTTATTTCCGATTTGAATATACGTGTCGTACACGATTTAGGTCAACTACTGCCACATCATTAGTTCTTTCATGTTCAACATTAGCAATACAACATCTTTCTTATTCCAACACCTCTGTTCTGTATGCCTTTTCAACCTATCCGCTAATGGCAGATACCACATACGCTTAAACGCCACTCGAACTCTCCCTCCGGTGTTCTGAAACCGAGGCTTTCCGCAAAATCGACAAGCCAAGAATTTTGCGTCTTCTTTCCAGTAAATCATACAGTTGTCGATGCAAACGTCGATCATCTGATATGGCAAACCAAGACCAGAAACAAGCTTCTCAACCGCAGAAAATGTAGTTGGTGCCAAATTGTCTTCCGGTAAAATTTCATTGACAAAATCAGCAAAACCATCTACTAAATCCTCAGGCAAATTATAGTCAGTCTTGAAATTCATCAACCTTGTTGCAACGTACAAAGGAGAATGGCCTGGCTTACAACCTGCATATAGTGGTTGTTTCGATGCGTCTAACATAGTAAAAAATCTACTTGCTTCCAAATTTGGTTCCTCCACTCTATTTCCTTCTTCTGGGAACATATGACTATTCTCCATAAACGCATCATGAACCATCTGAACCGTACCTACGTTCTCTTCTACCATTCTAGGTTCCTCTAACCTTTCTACCATTCTAGGTTCCTCAAGCCTTTCTGCCATATACTCACTAGTACTACCCACATTCATGTAATCATTTTCTCCATGACAATACCACACTTTATAATTTGGCCTAAATCCTCGACTACTTAAATGATTCCACACCTTACTAACAGTGATGAATTTATTATTATCACATCTTGGACAAGGACAAAACAACTTACCACTTTGTAAGCATATGTCCTGATTTGTTGCGAATCGCATGAATTCGGTGAGTCCAACAGCGAAATCTTCATTATGACGTCCGGTACTTGAATCCCATCTATCGTTATACATCCATGATCGCCAATTGTCATCATTTGTGGACATTTTTGAAGATTTTTTCGTGTTTTCTTGGTTATATTTACCTTAGCAATTGTTTATGAGGTTTATATAGACTCAGTTTGGCTCACCAACGGCTATTTAACTTTTAAAGTTTTTCCTACACATTTCCTACCAATATCCTACCCATTTTCATAACGGATATATTTTAAACGGTCATAAATATTATTTATAGAATTCCTACGACTAACTAACGATTTTTCAATTATTTACTGATTTCCTACCACTTTTCAAATTTCATTTTCTACGATATTCTTTCGAATAATAGATAGAGATATTGCTGTAAGAATCTCGTAGGAAATTATTGATGACGTTTGTACGGTCGTAACGGTTATCTTGTCTTCACCAATTTCCTACGAATTGTTAACTACATTTCCTACCAAAATTATGTGCGTAAGAATGTGGTAGGAAATGGCTGACCGGTTTCTTACGACGTCTTTTCGTAGGAAAGTTCCTACCAATTGTCGACCAACATTGTTTTGCGTAGTAATATCGTAGAAAAAGGGTAAAAAATCTTTCCTACAACACATTTCGTAGGAATGATCGTAGAAATACACCATGTTTTCTTGTAGTGCCTTGCTTCCGCAAGATCTTCACACTTTTAACTATTACATGCGATTTTTTTTTGTTTTAATATTTAAAAACGCATTATTAAAATAATAGAGAAAATATATTTTACATATGATATGAGAAAAATATATAGAGAAAGCCTTTTTCTACTTTCTTGATTGGTTTTGTCTTTCCGCTTCCATTTGATTCTGTTCATAGTTTTAAGGATTTTTTTGTCTTATTAATTTCCTTCTCAAATTGCACGAGTGGAATAGACTGGAGGTGGCAGACATTGAATAAAAAAGGTAAGAGCCTAAGGTTCCGGCTTAAATTGTCTTTTGAATTTTTTTCTGGGCTTACTTTACTTGCTACTTTTTATTTTTCTCTTATTAATTCTATATTATATTCTAGAGTTAAACTAATAAAATTGTTGAAATTGTTGTTTTGTATTTTTTAAAGTCGCATGGGTTGTTCCAGGAGTATGAAATTCAGAAATTGAAAGCGCCACCGTGCAAACACTCAAAGTACACTATATTGCGTCGCCACGTTTATTTTCATATCAACCAATATTATATGTTCAAAAACTGGTCAATTAGCTTCGAATGTTTTCTCCAAAAACCATTTTATTCTCTTTCTAAAAAACTGTTTCGTCTCTTTTTCGAATGCAATTTATCAAGGCAATATAAAATCAAACACTGGCCCAGCCCCAAACAAAAGCCTCACGGCCTTGGAAAGCCCAAAAGAGAGACGTTTAAGGAAAAATAAAAGGCAGTCCGAAAGTTATGTCAAAATTAATAATTATTTTTCTTTAACATTGTTGGTGTGCAAAATCTATCATGACCAAAATCCATGTAATGTGTAAAGAAGCACTTCGAGGAATCTCCAAGACTAGTGAAACGAAGCGGTACATGTATCTGAAGCAATCGTGACTAAGATCAAGTATAGGGATCATCACGTTAACAATGATTTTAAACTATATAAGCGAGTCTCAGAATTGATAGATACTCTGATACTCAGCAAAAATGTCCCCGCCTTCGAAAGTTAGTTAAAAGGGAGATGGGTGTGGTGCAAGTCGCATGTTGTGATACTCGAGCTATATGTCGGATTAGAGATGGACATATTCTATTTAAGTAATGTGCCTATAAGAGCTGACTCTGAACTATGAGAAGCTTAAAACGAACTAGAGGAAATTGTTGTTTTGTTTGCCATTAACATCATAATTGGACAGTTCAAATTGTTTAAAACGAAGATAATCGATTATTCAACCTTTTGCTAGAAGTTATGATCTTTTCAACTTAATCTTCTTATGTTACACACGGCTGTCAGAGTAGTAAAAACAATGATTTCACAATACTTATGTTTTAGATTGATACATTTATTTACTTCTTATTTTCTTGCAACCAATTCTTATTTTTATAAAGGGAACTACTATTAATAGTTCTATTTAAGTAGAGATTATTTAAGTATTTTTATATTATTATTATTATTATTATTATTATTATTATTATTATTATTATTATTATTATTATTATTATTATTATTATTATTATTATTATTATTATTATTATTATTATTATTATTATTATTATTATTATTATTATTATTATTATTATTATTATTATTATGTTTTTTATAACTCAGATTATGTTGGAGAATTAGTATTTTGAAGGACTCCTTTAAATATTTTTTAATTGGCTTCCATTTACAATTACAAATACATCTTTCAGAGTTTTTTTTATAAAGTCTTTTTTAGATGTTTGGCAAAAAGATAATGTTTTTTAGGACTATTTCCACCTCTTTGAAGTAGAAAGAAATAGAAGTTTCAGAAAAGAAAATAATTTATATATACAGTATATAACATGAGCATAAAGAGTAAATGCAACATTCGAACAAAAAAAAAAAAAAAAAAGAGTAAATGCAACCCATTATCATGCCTTTGGGTTGGTAAATTACATGGAGGCCACATCAATGTCCCATGTGGTATCACGTAATTTAGGTATCGAGCCTGCTAATAAAACGGGAAATAATAAATACATGAGTATAGAATTTGTTTTTTCTTTCTATACGTTTTAAGAAAACTTTTCTTAATTTTCCTTCACATCATAAAACACCTTGAATTAGAGAGTATAGCAAAAGTAATTGAAATAACACAGATCAAATGTTGGTAATTACAAAACTACAACCACATTTTAACAAAGATGATGGCATTTTGTATGTTCCTCTATGCTTCGCAATGTGCTTTGAACTTAGATTATTTTACCAGTATACCAATTTTGAAGAGTGGGCTACAAAGAAGCCGTTGATTAATTTTAAAGGTGCAATTTGTGGGAAAAACATACTTGTTAAATTTACGCACATGTTAAAAAAAAACGTACATAACTGTAAAACGTATACAGTCTTGCCCTGTGAACGAAGACAATTTACGTATAGCAAGATTTAGCTACTCTTACGGAGTTACGGTGCAGGAAAGTGACAAACGTCCCAGTTTGGAATTAATTTCTCTTTACACGAAAATGTCAAACACTAGACGAAGGACATGAAAATGACACAAAATAAGAGGCTTTCATCGGCATGAAAACTGTACCGTAGGGTATAGTCTTCATAGTGCGTACTGATTTTATAATTAGAGAGATGAAATAGAACAAACTTGAATAGTTGTATATTTATATTAAAAAATCATCAGCGACGTACGTGTAAAAGAAATTACATCTACTACGGTACGAAAATAAAAAAACTGAATTACTAACAAATTTAAAACAATTTTGTTCATTCACTATATATAAAAAGAATGAATCAAACCAATTCTACCATTTACATTCCTGTACTAGTTTCTCATTCTCTAATGCTTAGTCTTTAGATTGTTATAATATGGTAGTGAGAACTGAGAACTCGCTTCCTCATGTCATCACATTAGGCATTGTAATATTAACTTTAGGAATTGTCGTAGAGCAATCACATGACCTTGTCGATAAGAAAGAATATACCAACTAAGCACAACACCAAAAGTGTGCATTTTATTGATCTTAATGAAGATGCATAGAAAACTTTGAACTACAATTAAAAACAAATATTAATGAAACGAAAGAAGCGAGAGTATCTATCTAAGCTTTAGAAGAAGACTAAATAAATATTAAGAGAAGTGGATGCTCTAACTATAAAGCGGCGGCGCGTGGGCCGCCTTCAACAACATAAAAAATTTCAAGACTTTTTTTGGATGATCAATAAATTGGTGTCGGTCTTCACCAACTTTAACTCCCGTTTCTCTCGATTTCACACGTCTCAAACCACTCCTTCATTAGAATTAACTATTCTCCCTACTTGATCGAATTTCGGTATCCACTTTCTTGACCACTATTTATCTCCTTACGTATTAGGGAGATCGACTAATTAATTCACATAACAACGGTTATAGTCACACAGAAATTGTTATCTTTTATGCATAGTCTTTTTCTCTTACCTTTGAAAAATCAAAGCATTAGATTTCTTTGGCATACTAATATCAAACCACCACAACAACAAAATCATGCCCATTCTCTTTCTCTTCTCTTTAAATAATAAACAACACTCCAAAAGTATTCACCAATCCATATCCATTCTCACCTTCTAAATCTCCCTCTCTCTCTCTCTTTCTCTCTTCTCTTCTTTTCTCTTCTATCTCCGGCTAATTTACTGATGGGAGCTCAAGAGAAGCGTTGTCGTTTTGAGCCAATATCAAGCTACGAAATAAAGGACCGGTCGAACCAAACAGTGGCCGCCGATCTAGACGGGACCTTACTGATCTCTCGTAGTGCATTTCCATATTATTTCCTCGTGGCCCTCGAAGCAGGAAGCTTGCTCCGGGCGTTGATCCTACTCGTGTCCGTACCGTTCGTTTACCTCACGTACCTCTCCATCTCCGAGACTTTAGCCATCAACGCTTTCGTCTTTATCACCTTCGCGGGTCTCAAGATCCGAGACGTCGAGCTCGTGGTCCGTTCCGTCCTCCCTAGGTTCTACGCGGAGGACGTGAGGCCCGACACGTGGTGTATCTTCAACAAGTTCGGGAAACGGTACATAGTGACGGCGAGTCCTCGGATTATGGTCGAGCCGTTCGTCAAGACATTCCTAGGAGTTGATAAAGTTCTTGGAACGGAGCTTGAGGTCTCCAAATCGGGTCGAGCGACCGGTTTCGCCAGAAAACCCGGTACTCTTGTCGGTCAAGAAAAACGTGACGCGGTTTTGAGAGAGTTCGGAGGCGTTGCGTCTGATTTACCTGATTTGGGGCTCGGCGATAGCAAGACAGACCATGATTTCATGTCCATCTGCAAGGTTATCTCCGTCATTTTCTCTCCTTTTTTTTCTTGGTTTCAATCATATAGTATATATGTCATTTTCCTATCTAACTCATTAAATAAAATTTACAACGTTATGAGTAAACTCTGTGTCTATGGGATCTTGTACGTTCGTGCAACTTTTCCGGTATAATAGTTATTGTCTTGTCCTATGGTGTTTCCTACCCTTCCTAATAACTTTAATTAGCCAATCATATATTATCCCTTTATTTATTGACTTCCTCTTTCTTATACTGATATTTTTATTTATTTGTACCTTTTTATTTTCTGAAACCTTTCAAGTGAATTTATAAAACTCTACATAAAATAATCACTTGGATTCTTCATACACGAACCACCGATTTTGTTTTCATCATGTAAAAGCCATGGTCATCTTTACCCTTGTTATTTTTCACTCTCCTTTCATTTCGTAAATTTCTTCACAATTATCCTAAGTAATTAGTACATGTGTACTTTAATAAACTTGATAGCAGTAGTACACATGTATCTCTCGTGTTTACTTCGGTGTCGCATCTCCTATATTATTAGAAGAAATGAAAACTGCATGCTACTAAATAATTACGTACAAATCACAACCACTTTTTTTCGCTTCAATTAATATTCACGATTACTGGCTGCAGGAAGGTTACATGGTGCCACGTACAAAATGCGAGCCATTACCAAGAAACAAACTCTTAAGCCCCATAATATTCCACGAGGGCAGATTAGTCCAACGTCCAACGCCGTTAGTTGCTCTGTTAACTCTCCTCTGGCTTCCCGTAGGTTTCCTCCTCTCTCTCATCCGTGTCTACACGAATATTCCGTTACCGGAACGCATCGCCCGTTACAACTACAAGCTCACAGGGATCAAACTAATCGTCAACGGTCACCCTCCTCCGCCTCCTAAACCGGGTCAACCAGGCCATCTCTTGGTCTGCAACCACCGGACCGTCCTTGACCCGGTGGTGACAGCTGTCGCGCTCGGCCGGAAAATCAGCTGCGTCACTTATAGTATCAGCAAATTCTCTGAGCTGATCTCTCCGATCAAAGCCGTTGCGTTGACTCGTCAACGCGAGAAAGACGCGGCGAACATTAAGCGTCTCTTGGAGGAAGGTGATCTCGTGATATGTCCCGAGGGAACCACGTGCCGTGAGCCTTTCCTTCTCCGGTTTAGCGCACTCTTCGCTGAGCTCACGGACCGGATCGTTCCTGTCGCGATCAACACGAAGCAGAGCGTGTTTAATGGCACGACTACACGTGGCTACAAGCTTCTTGATCCTTACTTCGCGTTCATGAACCCGATGCCAACGTTTGAGATCACGTTCCTTAAACAGCTTCCGGCTGAGCTGACGTGTAAAGGAGGGAAGTCGCCGATAGAGGTGGCGAATTACATACAGAGGGTTTTGGGAGGGACTTTAGGTTTTGAGTGCACAAATTTGACAAGAAAGGATAAGTACGCGATGCTAGCTGGTACCGACGGTAGGGTTCCGGTGAAGAAGGAGAAGACCTGATCATTACTGTGAACGACGAAAGGAGAAAACGACGAAATAATACAAAGATTGGGATTTTCAGTTTGTTTCTTTTGTCTTTTATGTTTCGAAATTGTTTCTTCGCAAGCTTTTTTTTTGTAACATTTTCAAGTTTTACTTTTAGTATAATAACGATTTAAGGAAGAAAAAATTTGGAGTTATATGCTTGGACGTTGTATATAATATTGGTCAGAAAGAAAAAGTAAGTGAGTATAAATGTAATTTGTTTCTTAATTAGGGGGGGTTATGTTTTTTTTTTTAACTTTGGCGGTATGGGGGGTTATGTTTTTTTTTTATAACTTTGGCGGTATGTGAGATGACATTACGTACGTACATATGAATGTAATACCATAAGTCTAAGTCACAACCACTAAAGATCAAATACTGTATGTACGTCTGAATGTTATACAATGTCATAACCATTAAAGAACAAATAAAATTTACTTTTTTATTCAATGTACAGCTGGCTAATATACGGTATACCTGATGAATGATGATCATGTCAGGAATACATACAACAATGCAATTAAGTAAGAAATAATCTGTACATTTTAAAGCAATCAAAATATATAATTCATCTGTTTTACAAAAATGAAAAACCAGTCTTCCACCATATAATTCATCTGTTTTTCTTTAAAGCAGCTCACACATGACACACCAGACATGAACCAGTCTTCCACCATATGAAAAAGCACGGTGAAAAGCCATGATTTATTTTAAAAACTAAGTTGAGACTACGCGACTCAGGTAAGAGTTTTTATGATATGCACACCCTTTGTCCTTTGATTTATGGATCCCTTTGACATGGTGAGATAGAGCTGTGGTTATGATATGCAACCATATATCTATGTGGATGATTTTACAAATTTCGATTTAACTAATATATTATTTTTCCTAACAAAATTATACAAGTAGTGGTTATACGTAGCCTGAAAAATGATTTTGAGAAACAAATTGATTTTATTTTTTGCTTCTGGCCTAACTTTTTGGAAAAAGAAAAGTAAACGATATACCTTAAATTTATAATTCTCTCCCTTTTCTAGTTTGATATTTTTTTTCTTCTCTTTCTTTTTTTGTCTTTCAAAATTTAAACCAAGCCTAAAAATGACAACTTGCGTGTGCGTACAATGAATTTCCGCTGTCCACAGTCTACTACTGAGTACTACACATCATTCGGTTGATTGAGATCGACTAGTCTACCAAGAAAACGTATAACAATTTAAACGACCAATCTAGTTAGGTGGATCATTAGTTTGGTATTCAGGCCCTATCAATCTGTATGTCTCTGCAAGTACATCTAGTCAATCATGGATTTCATAATACATACTAGCATATCTAGTAAGTGGGATAATGTATAGATAATCAACATCTATGCCTAATGTTGGGTCTACTAAAGTCATATGATTTTGACTAGGTCATTAAATTTCATAGCCTAGGGTATCCACTTAGGCAGCTTCTTAAATATTGAACAACTCTTGGCGTTCGATAACAACATCACCTCCTTTACGCGAATATTTTACTCCCCATTTTTTTATTTTTGGCAGGTTTGCAACCCAATTGGTTCCAAGAAGTTTCTGATCATAACCTTTATTTATTATCTTTGGATATGATGTAACAAGTGCGGACCACATGGATGTAGTTCAGCTCGTTAAACGTTGAATCAAGTAAAATGTGCGGCACTGCGGTGTAATGATTTAACATAGCGTTAGATTGGACAGTTTATTATTACAAAACAACTCATTTGATAATCTATTTTTCCAAGTTATTGCTGCTATGTTTTTTTTTCCCCACAGTTGCTTATTTTTGTTTATAATCTTATACTGTATGAAATTATGAGAAATTTAATAGTAATAATGTTTGGGGACGAAATAGTAATAGTAATAGTAATAGTACTAGTAATAATAGTAAGAAATTGATTGTAATATTTAAGTATTCATTAATTTTCTTATTAGTCTCGCAAACGCTATGTTTGTGCACATTCACAGATTTTGGCGTGTAACAACAACCACGAAAACCATTTTGTGCGGCTTATAACTGTTTTAACAAAATAAATTTGAACACTTAAGAGACCATCACATATAACTTTGCAGTTTTAAGCGTAATGAATAAGAAAATTAATCAAAGTTTATATTTGATTTGGTCGTTATTCTTCATTTACCTAGTTTATAATCACAATTTATTTATAAACACACATTTTTTTTTATAATCAAAGTATTACTAAAATACTACATTCAGATTACAACATAACAATATGCGAGGAAAACATAAAATTTAAAACAGTTGTGTTTATAAATCTGAGTGTTGTATTTGAATGTTGTAATCTGAATGTTTGTTGTAATCTAAAGATTTACAACATAAAGAGTTACTTCACCTGAATTGTCATTTGTTCTTGGATATTAAACGCCTTATAAATTTTGTTCTTATAGACCTTCAAATTGAAGTTATTCTTAACTATCACAAGCAAGCAAAAGTTATCAAGAAAGCCAAACTGTTTACCGCTCACTAGTAGGAGGATGAGATTTTGTTCAAAAAATGGAATTGATTATGATGTGCAGTTGTTAGGTAAATGAATTTTTGTTTTGTTTTTTGTTTTATTTGTTGGCCTATTTGTAATCGCAATGGAAGTATAATAATTTTTTTGGTGGTTGAGTAAAAGAAATTGATTTTCATGTGAATTTGTTCTTGTTGGTCTTTTATTTCTTGTTGTGTTTGAATGTTTTGTGTTTTTGTTATGTCTGAATTGCGTTTGAGCGCATGTGTTAAGTTTTGTTTGTTTAAAACTACATTTATGTGTTTTGTGTAATTTTCTCAATGTTTTAATGTTGTGTATGAATATTAAATTAAGTGTTTTTTTTGTTGTTGTGTGAGAACTGAGAAGAGAGTCTAGAGAGAGATACTTCACCTTAACCTTCACTTGCTCATCATGTGATTATTTGCCATTATGTGGCGTCAATTTCTTGCTCCAATATCAATCTGTTTTAGTAGAAACACAACCACTTGATCAATATATAAAAGTCTCCCAAGCAACATTGATGTTTTCTTGGGCATCTAAAACATGAATGGATAACCCTTTCAGAGCTTTCATATATGAAGCCATGGCTTTAAAGAATTTCAAGAGAAATTATATAAATCAGAACTATGAACCAGTTTCTCTAGACACCTAATCAATGGTGAACAGAAACAATTTCGAACATAACATATGAGACAACAAAATTATTGCTATACAAAATTTTGAAGGATAGAAAGGTTGCGTCAAAGATACACATTACCTTGTTTTGGTGCACATAATAATGGACTTGCGAAAAGAAGAGCAAGGAGACCTAGTCAATATTGAACAAAAACCATTTAGAACATGGTAGAGTTCATATATGCCAAAAGAAAAGATATTACTATCAGACCTTTAAAGAAAAGAACAAAACATTATGTAAAAGACTAAGTTACCTTAATTCAGTGCACATCCAAGGATAAATTACCCAACCAGTTTTAAAATCTATCACGTACTGTAATATGTTAGACAACATCACCAAAAGCGTAGAATAGATGCTTGTAAAGTACGATATATGATAAATCAATCACACCGCTAGTACTTGAGATCAAATGGTTATGCATTGCTTGTTCATCTTTTGTGTTTGATTTTGTGGTATATGAAGATTTTTGTTCTGCGTTGTGTTTCTTGTTTTTGATTTGATTTGCTTTTGTGTTATGTTGTTGTGATTGAGTGTTTTGTGTTTTTTGAGTTTCTGGTGTTTTTGTGTGTTCAGTTTGTTGTGTGAGTGAGAGATTGACAGAGAGAAAAGATTTTACCCGAGTGTCTTAAATATTTTTGGACAGAGTGTTCTTAAGTTTTGTTTGAGCGTTTTGTGTTCTATTTTTGTTTATGTTGTGTTTAAATTGCGTGAGCGTATGTGTTAAATTTTGTTTTTTTTCTTAATCTGCAATTGAGTGTTTTGTGTAATGTTTTAGTGTTTTTGTTTGTTGTATGAGAAGAGTAGAGAAGAGTAAAGATAGATACTTCACCTTAATCTTCTTTTGTCCGTCATTTGATTCTTTGCCATAAAATTGCGTCGGCTTCTTGCTACACAATCAATATCTATAAGTCTTCTAAGCAATATTGATGCATTTACGAAGTCATACCTTAAAAAGAGATCCAAGAGAAATGATATAAATGAGAACTCGAAGACTAACAAGAAGATCCATTTTCTCCAGACACCTAATCAATGGTGAATAAAAACCATTTTAGAACATTACAAAGTTCATATATATACCACAAACAAATAGCTTGCTATACAAACATTTGAAGAATAAAAAAGGTTCTGTCATAGATAAAAAATTACCTTGTTTCAACCAAAAGAATAGCAGAGAAACATCTCACCAACGATGTTACAGTTCTCAACTCTGTGTCATTGTATACCATTCTGAGCCAAAAAGAAACCGTTGCAATGTTAAGAATAAGACCAATGCTTACACCCGACAGAACTTGACAAAACATGTACTCACAAACAGAGGAAAACAATGCTAAGAATAAGAGTTTAACATGATTACCCATCGTTTATCAAGGTTTCTTGTCAATTATCATGATCATCTTTAGAAAACAAACAACAATTTCTTGGAGACTGAATTGCATCCAAACTTTTGTCTGTTGCACCTCAAGAACCTACACATGAGAGTTAGAGAGATTTTATCTTAAAAACCTTTGTTGTTATATGCCTAATGGTTTTCTAGCTTGATGAATAAATTCTCCTAAAAGTTCCAAAGTACCTGAGGCAACAGTAAAAATGAGCTAATAAGACGAAGTAAAAAGAACATGCACAACATTCCAATGAGACATGGATTGATGGAATGGCCTGCGTAAAGGACCACATACCTTTAAGAATTGATCCTACAAAAATGATAAATTCGAAACTCACATACCAACAAGAAGAGCCAATTTGAGACCTAATCAGTAGTGGAACAAAACCCATTTAGAACATGGCATAGTTCATATATGCAAACCTTTGAAGAGAAAAAAACACATTCTATCAAAGATTAAGTTACCTTGATTCGGTGCACATCCATAAATAAACATTTCTGTAGAAAATCCAACCACCTTTTGAATATATCACGTACTGTGATATTCTAGACAACATCTCACCAAAAGCGTTAGAGTTCTCAAGCAAATGACATGGTATACGATCCTGAGCCAACAAATTTATGTAATGTTAAGATCAAGACCAATGGCTACAAGTAGACAGAATCATACAAAACGTATACACACAAAAAAGAACATAACAGATTTACATCAATCTATGTAACTTATCTCATAACAGATTTACATCACCTGATTAGGTCATTTTCTCTTTGGCTAAATTACGCACCTCCACAACTTTTGATCCTATGAACATACATGGATCAAACTAAATATATTTTAAAACCATCATAGATAAGACAAGCAAAACTTATACAGAAAGTTACCTTTTCCCGTAGTCCTTGATCATTGCGAAACAGTCTTATAAGAATATATTCTTGTAAAGTAAGAGGTATGATAAAAAAAATCACACAACTAGTACTTGAGATGAAATGGTTTATGCATTGCTTGTGATTCTTCTTTTGTCTAGTTTTGTAGATGAGTTTGCGTGGTATATAAATTTTCTTGTTCTGCGTTCTGCGTTTTGTGTTTGATTTTGTTATTGTGTCTTTGAATGTTGTTGTGATTGAGTGTTTTGTGTTGTTTGAGATTTTGGTATTGTGTCTTTGAATGTTGTTGTGACTTGTGATTGAGTGTTTTGTGTTGTTTGTGATTTTGGTGTTTTTTGGTGTGTGTTTTGTTTTGTTGTGTGCGTGTGTGTGAGAGAGTGAGATAGTGAAAGAGAGAGATAAATTACCTTAATTACATTTGCTGTTCTTGTTTACGGCATTGTCTCCACAACTTTGATCATTTGCGGCATAACAATCCATTCCCTTGAAAGCCAAATATTTTGGTTAACAGTAAAGTCTCAGCACACAGTAAACAAAGCTAAGACGAAAGAAAAATTACAGCTAAGAAATATATTTACTAATCATCTGGAAATTTGCTACAATTATTCAATCCTGATGAAGTAATGCATATTCTAAACATAGTACTCAGAAAACGTTTGGCTTTCTCATATTCACAAGTTTCTTCCAAAACAAATTCGATAATTCAAATCTGATCCATTGCATCTTTGAAATCTCATTGCTCATAATTGAAAGATTTTACTCAAAAAACATTATATAGTGAACACAATTTCTACACATTAATGCTTAATCTGATTCCGCTTTACATATATCAGTTGCTGTTTTAGGCACAAATCATCACACTAAATTATAAATCGCAATTTCTTAAACTTAAAACAGATCCCAAAGTTCTGAATTAAATCAGACAAAATAAACCATCGAACCTAAACAACTACAATAGCTTAGCGGATAAAACAAACAGAGAAAACGAGAAGAAGCCACAATCATCAACAAAAACATAAAACCCAGAAATAGTGTGAGGAAAAGGTTTTATACCTTTTGATTTTCAGCGTTACGTAACTCCGATGAACGGCGGGGACTGTTTCGTCGGCGTCAAAGTTGAATTACGCGGCAATGATGAGAACCATCTGAAACAAGGATCCAGATTCGCCCACGATTGGTACCAGAACCACCCACCGACACCCGTCTCCATCTTCTCCGTCGGAGCAATTAGTCGCCGACGATTGACTAACGGATTGGTTTTCTCGAATCCCGATCAATTTGAAGCGGACGCGATTATGTCTTTGAAATTGAAGAATCGAGAGAGAGAGAGAGAGAGAGAGAGAGAGAGAGAGAGAGAGAGAGAGAGAGAGAGATTTTTCGTTCATAACCGAGAGAAGGAGATTTGAAATTTAAAAAAACAACGCTCCACTTGTATGATCCAATACTGTAATTACCAAAATACCCATCATGTAGGAAGTGTTTTCAAATTACTAATTACCGTTAGGAGTTAAAGAGGACACATTTTAGCGTTTCCTTCGAAGCCACGGCTTCTTTTTTGTTGAGCCGTTAGACAATTATAATTTCAGTTACAAAAATTTCCCTACTAATGAAACTCTCAAGTATCCAAATGACACCTGTCACCGATAAAAAGAATTTTGAAAGTTTCACCCGTTAAGAGTTAAGACCATAAGATTTGTAATAGCTAAAATACGCCAGTTGGTTCACACTTTCAATTTACCGGTTTAGTTAGCATATATATGACTCGAATTAATACCAAAGTTTATAGTGTATATAGTTCTTCTTCCGGTTCTCAGTTTTGTTAAGCTTCCTCTCTCATTTGGTTAAGTATAAGAACTTTTTTTTTTTAACATCTATTAAATACTATAGTATTATTATAAATGGTGGGGATGATGTTGCTATTAGTTTTTCATTTTCCCAGTGATCACGAAATTTCGAGGAAGAGATACGGAAATATATCTCGGTAAATTGTAGACAAAAATCTTGTGCATATATAAACACTTAAAGAGAACAAAGTACATGTTAACTATATAGCTTAACATGAACTGGCAAACCTACAAAATTGTTAGTTTATCTTAAAGTTTCTGAATATTATATAACATGATCAATATAACCAGCCTTGAGGGTTGTGACTAACAGAGGAGGATAATAATCTTTTAAGCCGGTCGCTTATATTAATAAGAATATATATATATCTTAAGCACGTCTGTTCCTCCATTCAGCTTCTTTTGATTTTCCGGCTCAACTTTGATCAGTACCTTCAAATCTTGATTTTTTTGTTTTTGTGGTCGAGCGGAAAGAGTTCTGTTTCTTGGTAGCAATTGTTAGTTAGTCCCTGATTTTGTTTCCACATGAAAAGTTAGCGCTGGTGTAGTAATGGCCTCATTTCTGCGTGTCATTGGTAAGTTGAGATGTGGTTTCTTCTTTTGAGATAAGGGAGGATGCATCATCGAATTATTTCTAGTCAACTCTGTTCGTCGTGTTTGTTTAGATGCTAAATGCCTTTAACATCATCCTTATGTTTTTAGATTAGTAATTCATCGGTTAATTTATTGATCTTTGATCATTATGTCTTTTTCTTCTCTTGTATGTCAAGTTTTATCATGGGCTTTTACTGTTGCGTGGTTTACACTGTGGATGTTGATGCTATACTTGACGAACGAGATGAAGCTCAAGTTCACAGACGCAGCCGTCATTGTGAACGTGTTTGCTGGTGTATCAGCGATTGGTCATCTCGGTATGCAGTTTCTAGTCGATGCATTTATAGGTCACTTTTGGATGCTCTGCCTCTCCACGTTAGCATTCACTTTCGTAAGACTCTTTTAAAAACTCCAAACTTTAGGTTTTGTATCATGAATTTTTTTCTTCTTTGTCAAGTCAAGATTCATGATGCTCTGGTGTTAGGGTTTTGGGTTCTTGGCAACATCAGCATCGCCAATACTCTCCGGTGGAGGACAAAAGGGTATGTTCTACGTTGCGTTAACAGTTATATCCGTTGGTATATTTGGACGGTCGATCTCTTTGGGAGTGTTTACAGAAGATCAACTAGAAGACGGTGGTAACAAAGGAAATCCAGCAATGCTCACTAGCTTTGTCATTGGAAATGTTGGGAACTTTGTGTTTCCTTTAGTTGCTGCTATTGCGATTCCTCAGATAAGTCCGTGGTTTGTAAGATTCGCTATCCCCGCTGGTTGTGAGGTTCTTGCAATGCTGATTTTTCTGTCCGGTGCTTGTTCATACAAACGTGAAAAGCCTTGTGGAAGCCCTTTGACTACAGTTTTCCGAGTCTTTGCGGCTTCTGCTTCCAAAATGTCTTGCGGATACACTAAAAACTCAACTCAGCTCTTCTATGAACAAACCGAGTGTGATCTTGATATGAAGTCTCATACAAGTAGCTTGAGGTTTGTAACATTATCGACTTATAACTCTTTGTGTTGTTTGTTTATGTATGTAGCTCCTAAGTCCTAACTCTTCTTGGCTTTTAAACTCAGGTTCTTGGACAAAGCTGCGATGATACTTCAAACCGAGCCTTTAGAACAACAGAGGAAAAACAGATGGAGACTTTGTCGGGTGACGGAAGTGGAGCAAACCAAAAGCGTAATCCGCACGGTTCCTTTGTTCACGACATCTCTCATCTCCGGGATTGTTTTCTCACTCGGTAACACTTTCTTCCTCGAACAAGCAAACAATTTGGACTCCAAGTTCGGATCTTGGAACCTCCCTCTCCCACTTCTCTTACTCTTTAGCGAAGCCGCAAGACTAGGATCCCGAGAACTATGCGTCATGGCTGCAAAACGCCATGCCATTGACACACCAAAACAAACCAAAACGCCTTATGGTATACCAGTCTCCATCATCCTATCAATATTCTGCTGCGCCATTGCTGCACATGTTGAGTCTAGGAGGCTCAAAGTGGTTACTACAACTCAAGGTTTGGTTTATGGAACTGTTCCCATGAGTGTCTTCTGGCTGCTCCCACAGTACGTTCTTCTCGGGTCAATCACAGGAATCTACGAGAACAGCTTTGCGCTTTACCTAGAAGAAACAGTCCCTGAAGAGCTGAGCCAATACATGGTTCTGTTGAACGTGGGCGTGTGTGGGGTTGGGATCATGAGCAATATCGCTCTTGTAAGTGTGGTGGGAAGAGTAAGCGGAGGCAAATGGTTTCAAGACACAATAAACAAGAGCCGTTTAGATAACTATTACTGGGTGTTATCAGTTTTGAGTATGTTCAATCTTTTGTTATATTTCTCTGTAACTTATAGGTACACAATGTGCTACAAGAAAGATGCTGTAGCACAAGAAAATGATCGATAATAGATCGCTTTTTGTGTACTTTTGGTGTGCAACAAGATTTCAATTGTATGTACTGATTAGACTCATGAGCTTTGCTATAGATGAAGGCAATTGTGTGTTGCGGTGTGGCTTTGGAAATAACAAACGGCATGCTATGCTACTCAAGCTTGTCTAAACGGCATGATGTGTAAAGAATACAATCAATACAAGATAGACAACGTAACGTTTTGGCACACGCACACGTAAATGAGAGACATCAACTAACTTTAAAATTAAACCAATGAACCTGCAATGACTTTAAGAAACAAAATAAAAGTAGGTTGTGACTTAACAGGAGGGAAAGAAAAACAGTTCTAACATTATGGAAAAGGAAAAAAAATTAGTCCAAAATAGATAACAAGAATAGTTAGGAATCAACGGTCTTCCTTCAAAGTCAAATTTGCAATTATATGGAGATTCTTCTCGAACTGATGATACTCACTAAAGGCATCAAAATGGATCCCACCAAACATCAATTTAAAGAACAGATTCACTAATAATTTGGAAAAAAATTCCTAATGTTTAAAAAGTAATTAAAGTGCTTCTATCTTTTGTTTGTCACACATTAGGTTTCTAATAGCGATATACTTAGCCGCTGGAATATGCACAATTTTTTAAAGATCAAACGAAGGTGATATTAAGAATTTCATTATGGGACATAGATGAAAATTTAAGGACTCAAATATCCAGAACTACTCAACCGTAAAACCTTTCTTCAGTTAACCAATCTTGAAAAGAAAAGAAAAAAGTAGTAAAAACTACGATATTATCACTTGATTTTAGTTAGAATTTCATGATTCTTCAGAAATTAAAAGTCCATAATCTTTCACATGAAACCCCAAGATGAAGATATAAAATTGCCAACTTGGTGAGGAACAAAAGCATATCAATCATTATGGCTTTTTTTTTGTTTATGGTCTTTCTTTAGACTCGCTATAGATTCTCATTCTCTTGTCAACCTCGAACCTCTGACAGTCATTTTAAATAAATCAGTTGGAAAATATAGTAAGAAAAATAAAATTCTAACTACATTAGGAAAAGGTTTAGATGATGCTAAGAGAAAAGGCATCATTTATCAACACAAAGCTAGGTTTTGGTTACAAAATTGCCATCACAATAAGTTGTAGAATATCTCTGATTGAATAAATGGAAAACCCACTTTAATTACCTACTTAGCTAGCCCCATGCAATGTTCACACTGCAATCTTCACACTTATTATATAGATAAAAAAAGTTGGCACAAATGAGTTAACAAAGTTAAAGGGAAAGTTGTAAAATATCTAACAAAGCGAACAAAAAAATCACTATTTATTAATTGAAAAAACCACCAATAAGGAAAAATTTTGTAATCAAAGCCTACATGACACAACATAAATTATGATAAGCAATTTGATCTCACAAGAGTTCCAAATGACACAAACAGGGAAAAGCAAAGTTAATCACTCACTAATTAAAATAACCAACCAAAACCTAATTAATTGCTGAAAACCTCATTGATTAAACAACAAAATAGAGGAGAATAACAAAAAACAATATTGCGAAGAAAAAAAAAAAAAGCCACTATTTGTTTTTGTATATGCAACCGGATCAAGAAAAACAAAAGAGTAAAAATTATTAAAGATTATTAACTTCTTCGAGAGATCTCCACCGTGCGCTACATTTGGAGATACGCATTGTACGATTCGAACTGCGTTGCGTTTAGAAAACTCTGCTCTTGCAGTTTCGCCATGTACGGCGTCGAGGACATACCAAGAAGCGTTTCAGAAAACGCGTTTTGACTGTAAAACGCAGCCGTTGTTTCATCGTACAGCGGTTGACCTTCCCACTGATCCGACGCCTCCCTCTGGCTTCCTCCTAGTGAAGGCGGCGAGGCGGTTGAGTTATCGGCAGCAGCAGCATCAGGAGAGTCGGGGATGTTGACGGTGGTGATATCATGGATGCTTGATCGGCGTTTGTCTTTGCCTCCGTTGACCTGCCGTATAAAATACTTCTGAGCGTGACTCGCGACTTGCGTCGGCGTTCTTGTGGTCACGAAGTTGCGAGCTATGTTTCTCCAATCTCCTTTTCCATATTTCTTCAGTCCCATCAGAAATTGTCTGCGCATTCATTAAACCGTCCCGAAATCAAACCAAATCCCAATTAAACCAAACCGACTCTACCACTCATCAATAAAACAAAAATGCATTCTACAAAGTACAAACCATTAAATTATGTCATGGTCAAAGAAATAAATTTTCATATGCTTTGTTTCTACCAATGTTTCAGTTCCCACTATACTTAACCATATAATGTGTGCTTATAAAAGAATTAACACCAACTAAACCAATGGAATTATAAACTTGATACAGAACCAAAAAAAAAATGAAATAATGTGCAACTCTCTGTCCAATAGAAACGCACTAAAGATGCAATTTGTTTTGGTGGATGACTGTATCTGTATGTCTTAATTTTTCTATAGAATATAAATATTTATACAAGATGCGTATCTTTATACGTATACATAAACACGTTTCCAAGAAAGAGACGTACGTATTAATAAAAAGTGTGCAGGGTCCAAATCTAGAGAAGAAATTTAAGCATTTGACGTTACAAAAACATAAAGTAGAGAAAGAAATGATTTTTATCTTTCTTACCTGTGTTCTTCTTCTGTCCATGGAACACCTTTCTTCCTCTCATGCTCCGCCGCACGAGCGGCAGATCCTCTCTTTCCACCGACGGCGGCGAAGTAGTATCCGTTCATGTTAAACCCATTGTTTCCGGAGGCTCCGTCGTAGCCTCCCCAGTCGAGTGTGAAGGAATCGGAGGCGTAGCCAGGGATTGGGATGAGACCAGCTTCGATGTCGCTGACATCTTCCTCTAGCTCTCTGTACTGTTTGATCACGTCTCTGATGGTTTTTCCGGGGAGCATGGCGGCGACTTTCTGCCACCTGTCCGGTGTGTCTTTGTCGTAAAAGGCTAAAGCGTTTTCGAACCGCTTGTTCTCTTCGGCTGTCCATTTGGTTTCTCTGTTCTCTTGGAACAGCCAGTTTGATGTCTCTAAGTATGTCGCTGGTGACATAACTTCGATTCCTCTGTTCATGTTTATCGAGAAGAACAGAGATTTCAATGGTGGAGGAGGAGCTCAAAGAGAGAGAAAAGTTTGGGATTTCCGATCTATCAAAATGGCATTTTTGAAATGGAATCTGAGAGAAAGAGAGAGAGATGTGAGCATCTAATGGAAGAAGAATCTAAGGAGGAGGAAAGAGTTAAAAAAAAGGGAGCCGCTTTTTCCAGAGTCTAAGGACAAGAAGAAGAAGAAAGATTCGATCTTTGAGCTTTGTTTGTCTGAAACGATAAAACCCTTTTACCAAACCAATCTCTTATTGACAGATCCGAATCCAGAGAAAATCAAGCAAAATTCTGAGGAGATATTAAGTGAGGCCCAATCAGAAAAACAGAGGATCTGGGGATTTGGGAGCGACCTCTGTAAAACTGACAAATACCAAAGATGAAAAGAGCAAAACCCAGATGAGAGAAATGGAGAAAACTCAGGTGGGATGAGGAATCGAAGCTGCTAAAGTGAAAAAATTCAGAGCTTTTCTTCTTCTTCTTCTTCTTCTTCTTTCTCACAAACTCTCAGGCAAAAAAGGGAGAGAGAGAGAGAGAGAGAGGGGAGAGAGAGAAAGAGAGAGAGGTATGTGAAACAGGAATGATCTGAGAGTGAGAGGTGAGTTAAAAAGCTGTTGAGCTGTGATTGTCTTTGTGTATTTCCCAGACAAAAATTTCTGGGCTTTTAATTAATTTAATTATATATTTACATTAAGATCTACGAGTTTTTTTATAACTTTTTAAATTGCTTCAAACTTTAAAGCTACCAATTGGCCTTCCCTTCCAAAATACTAAACGTCCTTTGAATAAAAGCGAAAATATTACTCCTAACAACTTTTAGAATTCTGCTGAAAAATGCTTGAAAAAACTCTAATGCTAATGGATAAATTAAATCTACGGTAATTGTGTAAACGTGTGTAAAACAAATTATAGTTTTGGTCAACCTAGTTTTCTTTCATATGAGAATTACAATGATGTTTAATTGTGTAATATATCTTCCAACACCATTTAAAATATCGACACAACTAAATAATCAAACGATGTTAGTGTTGATTCATATAATAACACTTTTCTCGAAATTTTAGTATTCCACATCAATATAGCACAAGAACAAGTAGTATAATTCAAGTGGGATAAAAGAAAAGGTTTTCAAAAGCGAGATTAGTTAATACCAAAAACATTCTTTTTTAATATATTTCTTTTCGAAGTACCTTTTTAATTCAATCAACCAATAAACACTCGTCCTTGTATAGTCCGTGTTAGGAAAATTTTCACATAAATAGGAAAAGACATGTGTCGTCTTTGAATAGGCAAGTCACTCATGTTCACATCTCATTTGTTCTCATTTTAATACTACATTTTATGCTTTCGAGGACCGTTGATTGGATTAGTTCTATTACTCCACAGTATTTGATTTTTGTTTTTTGTTTGGTGAAAATAATAATATAGGCTCAACGAATAGGAGAGGGTGTTTGCGGCTTAAACGTTGCCTAATTATAGGCCAAAGACGTTTAGAGAGGAGCCAATCACAGACTCAGACAAGACACACAATCGAGGAGCAACCCTCATTGGCTAGCAAGATTTAAGGTCGGTGATGAGGGTGCTTTTGTAACTTCGTCATGGTGTTGACATTTAACCTTTTGGGCACATGAGTTGTTTGTTTGTTTGTATATTTATCGAAATGCCTTCTTTTTTCTTCCATGAGTAAATTGATTTGGTGACAACAAAATTTATAAAACGTTTAATAATTTTCTGGACCACAATTTCGATAACCAGAAAGAAAAGAATTGGGAAATGTGGTTAAATATTCTAGCTAGGAAAAGGAAAAAGCAGCATATTCTTACCATAAGCAATGCTTATCTACGAAGATAGGCACACAAATTTAGTCTTGTTCCAAAATATATACAAATTACATAAATCTAACGATCTATGATACACCAACTGAGATAAACAAACACCTAAACCATTGATCTGAACGGTGTTAATATTAGCGTGTAACCCGGGATGATCTGGATGTTGTCTTATTAAATACTAACAATCTCGTTTCTTTGGCGCAAGGTTAAGAGGAAGAGAATTTATCAATGTAATTAAGATTGATGGCAATGAGATCATGAAAAGATGAAGCAACCGAGGAAAGTTTACAAACCGCTAAATATAACATTAACATTAACTAATTGATTTCTTGAAGTATGAAAGCCACTATTCAAAAGAATATTTGGACCATAACTAATACACTTTTCTTGGAAATTACGTTAACAAACATTTTAATTAGTTCTCGATGCAGATGCCGATGAGGATTTGAGAGTTTTGTTGTAGAGTTTCACTCTAGTTGTTCCAATCGATGTCATACATGGACTGTTTTGACTAGTGAAGAAATAACAATCAAACAATTTTTTAAAAAACTTTTTTCATTTGAAAAGTTTATACACATTTTCACATTTTAGATGAAATGGTTTAGGCATTGACGAGCTAAAGGGGAAATTAACTAAATTTGGGTTAAAATCATTTCCGGATTGCTTTAGTTAGCTGGTGTACATACGTCTTGGATAGTTTATTTAGTTTGTCTATGAATAGACAAAACAACTAAATTTGTGTACATATATTCACATGTGGACATATAGTGTGCTGATATAAACCGATTTCATAGATAATAACGATAACGAAGTCGTCATTTAGTTAGTCGAGATTGGGAATCTATATTTTTGATGCCTTTTATAGACCTTACAAAATTTATATAGGATGGTTATACATTTGAAAATTAATGTGGATTTTGGTCTGAAATCATTTGCTTAAAAAAAGCAATTGCATTAGAATGACGAATTGTAGTTTTAGGGCCTACTATCTGCCAGGCTAACCTTGGAGAAGCATCGACGAAGATATTCTATCATACAATGATGATACCTTGCTTAATTCATTGGTTTAACCATAACACCAGGGAAGTAATTACATATAATAGTTTATGTTTTAGTGTCATAATTGCGTGTCTAAAGATTAGAAGCTCGTAATAATGGAGTTTAGCGAGCGATCGAGCCTCAGTTCATTAACGTAGGAGATATAGTTATGATGTTATTCTAACCACATCTACTATTCCAAATAACGGTATAATATTGATTATGGTTTATGACCGCAAGATAATAATATTCCAGTTTCCCTTTAATTATATAAGTGTAATTAAAGTTCTTTTAAGAAAAGAAAAAAACATTTTTTTAAATTGGTTTCTTTATACTTTACTCACTTGAGTTATCTATTTAGTTTATACTAAGATTTATACATTCGAAACACTTTAGGAAGGAAATTTCTAATGCTAATTGGTCCTTCCACTGAAACTCATAGTCTCGTATCATGGGACAACACTTAATTTTCTGTGTTACTGTTAATTAATGTTTTAAAACAAATAAACTGTCATGATTTATATATAAATGGGTTAGGTAGCTTAAGTGCTCACGCCATAACAGACACAATAATTCTTAAAAGTGTTAAGAATTGTTTAGGGTTATCAATTCATTATAATGGTTGAAAATCATCTTATTATAGTCTAGTTTAAAATAGAGATCGAGTCTGATCTACCATGTTGGTAACTGTACACATTTTATGTGACAGAAAACATGTTTGACTAAAAACTTAGATACACCATACTAGTATGAATTGCTCATAGTTTGCCAGTTATAAGAAAAAGTATAATTATTGTTAACATTAAAGTCAAAAATACAATATAATCAATATCGTTGTACAAAAACAATTTCTATCTCAAACATATACTTCCAAATTTTGTAAATGTGTCGAATTGGATACATGGAAAAAATGGTCATCTACCATTCCATGCAAAACTTGTTAATTGGACGACGTTAAGTAGCAAAGAGCCAAAGATCCTTCACAATTTATCGAATTTATATAGGAAGCGCCAGATGTTTTATTTTGAAATGAAAATTCATTTAATTATATAATAAAATGATGTTCTCCGCAACTACAGAGTTGTTTAAGCAAATGTCAGAGTTGTTTGTCCACCACTCACACCCAACATACGAATATTTATTTCTTCTCAATATTAATAGGTCAATAAAATATTCTGTAAAGTTATTAATTTATTATACGTTGTTTTTTAATTGGAGTGGTGCAAGCCGATGACTGGTTTGGTTATGAATATTATTATCGTGGAGTTTCCCCAAAGGGAAAGCATCTCTTATTTCCGAATGAGGACACTTTTTTTTTCTCCCCAATAATTTATTTTGATATCAAACGATGCAGGTAATTAGATGCACATAATAATTAATATTTGTTTATCTGATGCACATAATTTTTTTTTTTTTATCTTTAATACAGATCTCGGACCTTTAAGGTTTCTTTTCTATATTTTGGTGTTATGATACCTTTTCCTAATGGTTTAGCTACAAAGCCGACAATCATCTTCTTGCAACACTTGTGTGATATTTCATTACCATGATACATCTACTCTATTAAGATTGGTTGTATGTTACATGGAGTATTATAAACTATAAAGTATCGGGGTTAGTTAAATGAGAGGCAACAGAAAAACGACACGAAGTTGGGAAGAAATAGGGAGCACTGGCACACAGTTTGACCCACCGGAGCGACAGCAAAAGAGTGCGAGCGTGCCTGTAGGGCTGCCACTCATAATGCGCTCCACACGCTTTTGTACATTAGTGGCTTTGCACAAATCATTTGTTTCCTTTTGATATTTGTTTTCTAATTATATATACAAATCTTTTAACGACTTTCTTTTATTATTCTAAGTTGGAACCCATACTTTACGTTCAAAATATGGGGTGCCAAGCAAATAGCAGGATCTGATAGTTTTTTTGTCAACGGAAGTTTATAGAATATTATTTCATTTTTACTTTTTTACTATAATAAATATTCACTCTAAGAAAACCATAGAGTAACATATACTTTTAAAACATCCAAGAAAAAAAAAACTAAATTTATAACCCTTGTTACAAAGAAAATAAGAATCTATATAGACGCTCAAATAAT